TTCTCTTCTGCTTTGGTTCTCTTCATAGCTGTAGCCTGAGTTTACTCTTTTCCCCTTCTGAATGCATGCTGCTTAAGCTGATGTATCACAGGATGACTTGTGATGCCTGACTGAGTCCTGCCTAGGGATGTCAGGTGGCTTGTTATTCAGTGTCTAAGTCAGTGATTCTCAACCTGTGGGTTACAACCTCTTTGAGGTCGCATGTCAGATACTCTGCATAACAGGCATTTACATTATAATTCACAAAGTAGCAAAACTACAGTTATGAAGTAGCAATAAAAATATTATTATTGGGTCACCACAACATGAGGAACTGTATTAAAGGGTCACAGAATTAGGAAGGTTGAGAACCACTGTTCTAGAAGTTCTAGATCAGACTGGTCTATGTAGGGAGTTCCAGAATAGCCAGGACCACACAGAGAAGAGCTATAACAAAAAAAGGAAGGAAGGAAGGAAGGAAGGAAGGAAGGAAGGAAGGAAGGAAGGAAGGAAGGAAGGAAGGCTGACTCTATAAATGACTACTTCAGCAGTTTCTTTTTCTGCAGTCTCCTGAAGCCAGATTCCTTATTCAAAGAAAAACAAAGCATGTTGGGTTTTTTGCATTTGCTTTGTGTGTATGCCCACTTGTAGATGTCAAAGAACAACTTGAGGAAGTTGGCTCTCTCCTCTATCATGTGGGTTCCAAGGATTGTACCAGCTGAGTCACCTTGTCAGCCCAGTTATTTTTTGTTAAGTCTTACCAAATTTTTATACCTCATACCGAAAGGACTTAAGCTGATGGCAAGTTCTTTCTTCTAACACCAAAGTCACCTGCTCCAAACTAGACAAACTAGAAATATCTGATATTTGTACAGGAAGGCCTAGGGTACCTCATTGTCAACACTTCCAAACAGAACTGAGGCACTTAGGCCTCAGTGTGATACTTTGAGCTTCGACATTAAGCACCAATATAAAACATGATACTTTATAAAATGTACTTTCCCAGAGAGTGATCCAAGGCATTGGTCCTGAAAATAATCTTTTTTCTAAGTTTTTTTTTTCATTTCAGAAACCTTCTACATTCAATTCTATGTTCTACGCCAACAGAAAAATCTGGAAGGCCCTTGGGCATGCATATCACTTAGCCTTGTTTCAACATTATGATCTGTACTCCTGGAAAAGAGAATTCAGTATTAAATAAAGCAGCAACATAGACATTGCTCAGTATTCTTACTAAGTAAATTTCCATTCTAGGGTAAAAATAATCATGTCATACAAACACTTTAACCAATAACATGGGACAGAGGCTTTAAATAAGACCTGGGTTCAAAGGCAGAGGCAGGCGGATCTCTGTGAGTTCGAGACCAGCCTGGTCTACAAGAGCTAGTTCCAGGACAGGCTCCAAAACCACAAAGAAACCCTGTCTCAAAAAACCAAAAAAAAAAAAAAAAAAAAAAAAAAGACCTGAGTTCAAATCATAAGCCTTCTTATTATTTCCACCTCTCTTTTGCCAGAACTTTCCAAATCTGAGTAAGCTAATTTGTACCACTTTATACCTATCTATCTTAGCATCGTTATTGGCTGGCACAGTTTCAAAGTATTCGGCCCTAAATACTGTAATTAGTGTTAAGTATTTTATATCTCATTTGACACTCTTCCAAGTATTTTATTGATTATCCCACCCAACGACACAATGTGTGTGATTTTGGTCTTATTAATGCCTTTATGGAGAAGGAATTAAGATGCATTTGTTAAACTATCCAGTTAAATCAGCTCAGGGAAGCAAGAAAAGCTATTGGTTCCTCCTAGCTCCTTTTAGTTTGGGGCTTAAAAACATCAATGCATTTGATTACTGGT